ACTCATCGGCTGACAAAATATATACAGAATAAAGACAGAAATGGTTTAGGAAAAACTCGCTTAAGTGAAACGAAGCGAGAGCAAAACGAGGGCTTACCTAGTGCGATAGCACGAAGAAAGAAGAGGCTTGGTCTTGGCTCTGCACGTGGTTATATACCTTGTCTCTTAATTTGCATAATAATTTATCTTTAAAACGTGGGCGCCTTGCGCATGCGCAAGAAAGTACGCATAATAAGGGCATAATATCGAGTATGGTGAAAGAGAAGTCATAATTATGAGGATGTCAAGTAAAAAGGACTGGTATATATGGCTCTGGCATTTTTCTGCACTTCTGCTAGTGGAAATGAGATTTGGACACTGGGAAGTGGGATTTTGGGAAAAAAGTTTTGGTAATTGGGATTGGCACTCCCTTCAGGACCCTCTAGACTGTAAGCTTATGAACACCGTTGTTTTTAATTATTCCCAAAACAGAATTATGTTCCTTAGCGCTGAGTATATGGCCCTATTCTAATACATCAAACCACATGGTGCGTTCATCAATATACCGCGTACACCTCCTGGTGCACATGATCAAAGTTTCACTTTGTTTACCAAAAAAATTTAGAGCACTAACGAAATTAACTCATTCCCCTGAAGATATCCTAGCCGATCATTGTCAATTAAGTCCAAGAAAGATGGTGAAAGAGTTCGTTTTTTTCTTTCGAGTGCTTTGTGTCGCCGTCACTTTTAGATCAACGTCTTCAGAAGTTCTTCAAGTTGCGGTAGCGAACAAGTCTCTACATCGAACACCAGAATTCGGCTTTGCTTACTTCGTTTTTCAGCCAAACAGTAAACTAGAGATAGAATACCCCAGTCAGTTCCACGCTCCGAACTACAAGCCGTGTGCACTTGCCTGTGCCAGGAACATGACTTGTCTATCGTTCAACTTTGGGAAAAAGCCCCTCTTCCTTTACCAAGGGCAAGCTCAGTACCTCTGTGAGCTGTTGCCGACTGATAAATACAACTCTTCGTCCAAGTATCAAAGTCAAAACTCAGATTTTGATCACTACAGCATCAGGGTAAGTCTTATATTCTTTAACAAATCAACTTGCAGATGTGCAATATAAAAGCTTCAATTTTATCAAACCACGAAATGACGTCTACTGGACTGGAAAAGAAGTTTTAAAAATAACATTAAAGCCATTACTTTTCCTCTGTTTCTGTTTCAATATTTTTAAATGATTTTGATAACATTTACGTCAAATTGCAGCAAATATAATTTCAAACTATCTTTCAGAGGCACGCTGATGCAGGTGCCTCTCAATATAACGATGTTATATAATTTTATTATGACACCACACACAATACAACATAGCGCATACTGATATTTTATAAATCAACACAGGTTTCACTACTCTAGCATAAGGAAACACTGCCCAGGTCTTATTTCGAAAGATTCTAGCTCTGTTTAAAAGTTCTTAGAAAGTGCACGAGTAAATTTCAATGTCTTATTTATTGGTTGCGGTTTGCGACGTTTTATTTGGTTGTCAAGAGGATCACAGTTATTTTTCCAATTACTCGAACGAGCTCTGACGTCATATATCACCATGATATGGACGTTGTTTTATCTTTATTTAGCTTGTTTTCTTAGTTTGCAAGTACTCTCTTTCACAATGACTGAATACCTCGTAAAATTTAAACAAATAAAATTTTAAATTATATCATACATGTTACAGAATTAAAAAAAGACTTAAGGTCTCTCGACAGAGTTTTTTAGGTCATCCGAAAGATCTCGAAGGGTTCTAAATTATTTCTCTTTGTTGAAGATTAGAGAATTCCGTAGACGTAATTCGAAAAAATAAATAAATAACATTGATTTATTTTCGTCATTTTTAGTCGAACTGCAGCAAGTCCCCCTGTCTTCACAATTTTACTTGTATTGCAAACTATACTGAAGATACTTATGAATGTTCGTGCCCGAGACCTGCATTTGAAGGCAAACACTGCAATGGTAAGGGTTACTGTTTGATAAGGAAGATTGTATTTTATTAATTATGCTGTGAATTCAAGATGTTTATGATTTCAATCCAAACTGATTTATTCGCCTCCTTAAATTATACTGGACGATTGAAATAAAGGCTGAAATTAATGGAGAGCTGAAATAAATTGATATGCACCTGAGAAAAACAAGGAAAATAAATTGAAAAAAAGGTTGGTCAAGTTATGGGAGAAACGAAATTTTAAAAAAAGTTATGATCGAGGCTCCAAGAAGCAGCCAAGGTAACGTCGTTGGGGAGCGTTGCCGAAATAAAAGTGGGTGGGTCGGAGGAAAAGCCTTGCCGCGTCTTAATATAATGTCCTATAGGGGCGAGGGAAGCAGGGGAGAGAGAAACAACCTAGAGCAGTGTAATCGTTAGCAAATGAAAAAGCGTTCAAATTTAGTCATTGACTTGAATTCATTTGATTGACAGATGTTGATGAATGTACTACAGGGCAGCATAACTGTGGTCCAAATGCAACTTGTACCAACATTGTCGGCTCATACAACTGCGAGATAACATGTAAGTTTTCTGATCGTCGATTAATCGTTCCAAGATCATATACTCCAATTTCTCTGCTAGTCAGAGTTAGCCTCCATTTTGTGTAGAATATTCAAGCGGTTTCAGTCAAGAAATTGTGCATTCTTTACTTTACCGTTAGTATTTGTGAATATTTCGACACTGATACAAGATTAAGCCTGAGTAAATGAGTCTGTAATCAATGAACACAGCGGTAATCAGACTCGTACCCAGTCGCTTCTCTTGTCTTATTGATCTCACGCTGTGGTTGATGGGAAGGATTTAGTGAGAAAAGTTTTGAAAAAGCCAATCGCGCGCATTAAAAACGCATGAGTGACGACTGGATACGTGTCTGGCGGTAATAGGGAACTCGAAAAAGGTTTATTGTTCAAGTTGTCGGCTGTTGATCATACGAGCTCAGCATTGATTTGGGATTATTATTTTCAAACCTCTCGTAAATGTTTGTATAAAACCTGTTCTTTTCGATATATGAGCAAAACTGATCTGATCTGGTAAAAACCCAGAGCAATATATCACTACAAGCTATATATCTTGCGAAATATTCTGAGTTCCATATGGGAACGATTTGGTGTTGGTTTCTTTTGTTTTATCAAACAACAAGGGTAAGTTCAAGTCTACTTTTCTTTAATGACCTTGGGTATTCAACCTGTTCTTTTGGATAGAAAACACAGAGCAAGGCTTAATGTATCATTTACCTTTCCTATTTTTAGCATGCACCTACGAAAAGGCACTCGGAATGGAAAGCAGAGAAATACCAGATTCTTCAATAACAGCCTCCTCTTCATGGGGTGGTGGAGATTCAGGAAACCAGGCCAGATTGAACAATAATCCAGCTCACTGGGCACCATCTTCCAGTCGAGTCGGGGAATGGCTGCAGGTAGACTTTGGCAGGCTGACACTCGTAACCAAAGTTGTTACACAAGGAAGACCATATTCACCGGAAATGTACATGACTAGTTACTTGTTGTCGTACAGACGAGAGAATGAAAACTGGACAAGCTACGTGCATACCTCTTTTGGTGGAGTAAGTAACGCACCTATAAATAGATTTTACTCAAAGTGTCTATGCAGCGAAAGATTTTTGTCCAATGTTTGTTTTATTAGTAGTGCTTTGTTTATAAGGAATAATGGAGTTTTCGGATCTCGTTTTGTGCAAGAGATTTTTTTGACTATGAAAATTAGGAAACAAATGTCGTACTAACTCTTCAATTATAAAGCAGATTCCAATGAAAACTTGCATATATGTAGTACCAACCATATGATAATCACCACTGCCAGTGTTATTATGCCGCTGCTATGGAAACCAGTTATTTTCCAGAAATCTACATTATCCTCGGGTTTTTTACCTTTTGAATTAAAAAAAAATTTGCCTAGAACCCATACAGTTATTTTTTTACACTTACAATTTTGTGCATAGTTGAAATTAAATTGAGTAGTGGGTAGCGTTCCTTAATTTATAGTTTTGTTGCAATTGCTACGTGAGTGACATCACTCGATACGACAGTCAGGGTAAAAATAACAATAATAATAATAATAAAAATAATAATWATWATWATTATTATTATTATTATTATACTTAGTTTACATTGCCTAGGCTAAGCCCGCAATGATGTTGATACATTCAGTGAGATTTTATTAATAAAGTACACCATAATGATGATGATGATGACGACGACGACGACGATGATGATGATGATAATGATAACTTTATTTAGATCTCCAACTTATGAGACATTTTTATTTTGTTTCCAGACACTTCCTGGTAACATCAATTATTATGGTACCGTCACAAACACCCTAGATCCAAAGATCACCACAAGATACATACGTATCCATCCTCAAACATGGCACCAGGATATTACTATACGGGTGGAATTCTATGGATGTTACCTGTCTTAAATCTATCCGGCATACACATCTGGTTGCAAGGCGCAATAGGCCTTTTGCAACAATAGTTCACGTGACCTTACCCCCTTAAAAAGAGAGGTTGTGTCGAAATGAAAAAAGCACCTCGATATTAGTAAGAAGGCAAAGTTTCAGCTTATGACATATAACACAGGAGAAATGGCATTCCATACAGCCAGCTAGCACATTTCCCATACAAATTCTTATAAAATATTTGATTTTATATTCGATGCCATTTCTTCAATAGTCAACATTATGAGATAAAACGTTGCCTTCTTACTTATATCGAGGTCCTGTTTTCATTTGTTTTTAGGGGTAGCGTCACGTGACCTGTCGTTGCAAAAAGCCTAATCATGCACTAGCTGCTACGAATGACTCTTAATTTCTGATTGGTTACTATCAATGTTCTATAAACGCAACATACTATACCATCATTATTCTTTTTTTCGAATTGGAATTTTACAGATTTAATAATTGCCCCTTGACTTCAAAGACAAAGAATATAGGTTGCTATCAATAGACGTGATTTCAGGTCACGTATTGCGTAAAGGAAGGCTTATCAGCCTCACCGCTCACGAACACTTTATTTTTGTATGTATTATTGGTTACGTCATATCCGTAACGTTTCACTTAGTCATTACACGTCTCAATTGCCCTATTTCACTATGTCGTCACTGCTTGTTTATAGCTCTTCATTCAGCTCACTTACATGCAGATTTACCCCTTTCATGCAGCGTTGAGTCATCAGCATACATGTCAATATTTGAGTCTGTTGATAGAGGTAGGTCATTTATGAACAGTATAAATAGTAAGGGACTAATTATACTTCCTTGCGGCACGCCGTGTGACATAGGAGTTAGGGATGACACACTGTCTTTTATTGTAACACAGTGACTTCTTCCTTTTAGATATGAGGTCATCCATTTTATCAATGTAGTATTAAAGTGGTATAGCTTTAGTTTGTCAATAAGTATATCAAGGTTGATCATATCGAAAGCTTTGCGAAAGTCAATAAGAACTAAACCATTCAAAAAGCTATCCTCAATGTTTTGGTACCACATATCCAGTAGTTTATTGAGAGCAGTTTCACAGGAATGATGTGGCCGAAAGCCTGACTGAGCAGCATAAAGTAGATATAAAGTAGATAAACACATCTATCGTGAGATGATATAAAGTGGTAAATGTGCATATGAATATGACGTTCTAGCAATTTACTGACAATAGGCAAGATGGATATAGGCCTATAGTTGTCAATGTCAGTGCGGCTTCCAGATTTGAATACAGGGGTTATTCTTGCAATTTTCCACTGCGAAGGGAACACTCCAGATTCAATGCTTTGGTTGAAGATGGTAGTAAGGTGACTTGAGATGACAGGTGTTAAGTCTTGGTTAATCATGTATTATTTTAATGGTATGATTGGAATGCTATGCATGTTTCTAGTTTAGTAATTAAGTTTCGCCTTTTGTATCATTTAACTCTAGTTTACGACAAGTTCTTGGATTGTAATAAACCTCAATTCGTCGTCAAGTGCTGTCCGTAAAATTATTTCCGAAATCTCCTTGATTACTCAGCTATCGCCAAAAAGGTGAATTCGTCCGTGTCGGCATTTACATATTGAAATAATACCAGTTAATTATTAAAAATAAGATCTTTTTGGAGATTTTTTAAAACTTGTAACAGGCAAAAGATAAGAATTGGATTGCTTGTAAACTTTTACATTTCTTTACATTTCTTCACTGGTTTATAAAGAGAAAAATATGAAAATGTTTCTACGGTATGGATTGCTTTTTTGCCGGCTTTAGTTTATTTAATGGTATGGAATTTAACCACATGAACACACAAAACGTCAACTTGAACTTTAAAGCTAAAATGCTCGATATATAAAAAAATATCTAATGAAAAATTAATTAAAGGGGCACTTGGATGAAAACGCCCCGATTTTTGAAAGTCCGAAAAATTAAAGTATTTGAGGATAATATGACTCAAATATAATTATGAAAATCAGATTAGTGAAAATTTTAGCCTGGGAGCCACTCGCTGTTAAGATATCTTGGGTTAAAAGCGAAAAGAACAATAGGGTTGAGTAAATGACTTCATTTACTCACAATTTAGATGCTGAATAAAATTGATATTTTTTTCCCGCCACTTTTGACTGTGAAGGGAACATGTTGCTTGGCTACTATCTGGGCCATATAAGTTTAAACAAGTTTCAAGTCATTTCCAATTTTCATTGATTTTCATCCAAGTGCCCCTTTAAAGTAGACTGAATTGGAAAATAATGAGGGTGATAAAAAATATCAACTAGAAATTGGATATCTTGAATGATAATGAATTGCAGGTGGAATCTTCGAAGAAAGACAGCCACTCAGGGCGATGGGAGTGACACTTGCCTATTTATTGACAATGCATTATTCATTACACGTCCTAATAGCTTATTGCAGAATAAATTAAGCTAAGACTTCAGTYACTTTACCAAAGTGAAACTCCACAAAGCACCGATACCATGTCGTCAAGGATCAAGGTTTAATTATTGCTGGCTTATTCTTTGTGGTTTTCTTGGTCCCTCTCGTTGCAGGTAAGTTGTGATAGTCAGAGTGCTTCTTTTACTCCTCTGGGTAGCATGGGTGGCGTTCGCGACTAACGCGTCGTCTTTCACCGCTGTGAGTCCAACGGTTCGGGTCGCTGGTTCGAGCCCTGCCGTCGCCACATGTGAATTGCGTTTGTTTGATGTTCTCTCCTATGCTACGAGGGTTTTCTCCGGGTTCTCCGGTTTCCTTCCTCCGCAAAAATCAACATGTGAGTTGAGCGTTGTGTGCATAGAATATTAAATGTAGTGGTAGTGCGTGTGAGCGAAAAGTGTCCCCAATTAGTGCGAAAGCGCTACAACGACTAAACACTTAAATCAAAGTGATTTATTTATTTATTTTTGTTGTTTTCAGGGCAATTTTAGTTTAGAAAAGTCTTTTTACCTTCCTTCTTCATGTTAAGAGAATTTATTCTCTCTCTATCAATGTGGAAAACAGGTGTTTTTGCATATGCTATGACCAGAAAGAAAAACGCATTCAAAAATTTTAAAAGATGTTGAAAAAAGTTTAAAACATTCATTAATGAATTTTTAGGCTGTTTTCCTCCATTTTAGACAAGAAGCATCAACAACTTGAAAAATGATAACTACATCCTGAAAACAATATTACTGATAATCGATTGCAAAATGCGTCTTAATATGAAGCCCGCAAAGTCCTCCATTGGTGCAAGAATGTAAAGCGCATCGAGACTAAATGTGCCATAAAGGAACCTTCCAATATCTTTTATTATTATTATTTTAGTTTGTTAACTCTGTCCTAATAAAGGTCTTTATTATAAACAGATAAAAGTACATATCTATCTTTACATAGGTAATTATGAAAAAAGTTCTATGCTAGAAAAAGAAAAAAAAAAAACAAGATAAAATATATAGATAAAAGATAAAGATATATATTATAGTTATGCTATACAGCTAAACAAGTAAAAAATCTCTAAGAATCAACCACTAGATTATATTTAAAAATTAATCTATTTACAAACGATTGCTTTTAAAGCGCTCCGTATTTACATTAGGGAAATGACAGGTATTATTGCGAAGTCTTCTGGATGATTCCTTAACTTTTGGCAAGTATGCAAAAAGAGGATGTTCGGGAATATTATTATTACTTATCTTTGAAACTGAGTTATTTAAATCCATGATTTTTGTAATAAGCTGCAAATATTTAAAAGATAGGAAATATATTTACGTTTAAGATACCTAGTTAAAAACTTTTGTATCGTAGTTAGTTCTGGCAGTGAAAGACCTTAAATCTTGACTCCATATAAGATCTTAGATAAGACTATACTTTTGAAAAGATAATCTACTTGAGTTTGTATGTATAGCCCTCCTGACAAAAACACCTAATGATATAGAGACACTTATTGGCTTCTACTAGCTTAAGTCGTACGYGTTCTGAAAATTTACAGTTATTCTGAAATGTGACGCCTAAGATCTTTAAAGAATTCAACTGGGTAATTCCCCTAACTGGAATGAACTGACTACTAACAATGTTCTTTTTGCAAATAGCTAACTCATTGCATTTGGCTAGATTACACGGCATACAGTTGCCATATGCCCAGTCCATGGGCATAGGGTAAAACATGGACTGGACTCTTGGACCCTGGACCCTTGGACTATTATTTGGACCCATGTTCAAACCATTATATTTCTTATAACTATTGGTCATAGCCTTTCATTTGAAAATGTTACTTTGATTTGCGCTCATTCGAAGCTTGATTTAGAAGTCGTTCCATAACAATTTCGCTTATCTATACTCTGTGTGGTCTCTGTATAGCCATCTAGATAGCATATAGAAGACTTGAAGATCCGTGGTTGCAGTAGTGCTGAGGATTCTGTTGTAAAAGACACATTATTTTATGACCGTGAAGAATGGTAGTCCATTTTCGAAGCAATGTTTTTATGCCCATTATATCTGTTTTTTCAGCTAGAGTTACTTTACAAATCTGTCAAATCAAGTTAAGTATCATTTTACATGGGAGATAAAAGCAAGCTCGGTATGCAGGCAAATAAATTGATTCGAACGCGGCCATATGGCAGCAAAATAAAAACCTTACAAGTGATTAAAAAAAAAAGACTAATGAATATAATGACCAATAGTTATAAGAAATATAATGGTTCAAACATGGGTCCAAAGAATAGTCCAAGAGTCCAGGGTCCAAGAGTCCAGGGTCCAAGAGTCCAAAGAGTCCAGTCCATGTTTTACCCCATGCCCAGTCCATGTACATGAGAGTAGGCTTTATCTTAAGGCGATATTTTTCATATCTAAGAAACTCTTGTCAGTTGTCACATTATAGCCTGCGGCTGGTTAGAAGATAATTATGACACTCTTGTTACCAGCTTGTCGTATCAGTGATATGGTCGCAAGATCGTTAAACTAAAATCGCCTTTTATGGTCATCAATTGTTTCAAACTAAAGAGGGAATCACTGAAAGGACTAGTTACGAGGCGGGAAGTTTGAATTTCCGAAAGTTGTGTTCGGGCTTTTGTCTTTCCTTTCTTCCTTCCTTCCTAACTGACTGACTTTTCTTTCTCCCTTTTTCAATTCACGTTTTTCTTTTTTTGTGGTTAAAGGTAACAGCTGCGAGGATACTGGCTTCCATCCTGAGAAGAAGGGCCAGTACCTCAAACATCACGTCATTGATACCATGACAACCGAAACTGCGTCCTTGTGTCGCATCATGTGTTATCTACAAGAGTCTTGCAAGTCATACAACTATCAACCAAGCAATGGATCCTGTGAGCTTAGTGACTCAGATGAAACCGAACATCCTTATGATCTTGTTCTCAATCCTGAACATGTCTACGTTAGCAGAAAGGTAAAGAAATAAGTAGTAACCATCTCATAAATTTATTCGTGATCTTTCAATGAACTCATTTTGGAATCCGTTTTTTGATGTTGTTGACCTTTTTGTTGTTGTTGTTGTTGTTGCTTATAGTCTGTATATCAATCTCATACCCAGAGCCTGCGTTTCTTCTGGCCTGCGGCGAAGAACGAGGGCTCTGGCATAATCCATTTCTTGAGACCAGGATTTCTTGGACTTCCGGTATAAGAGTGCAAGCGTTCAAAGACTTGCCAAAAATTAAAAAAATATGTTCCCGATTTCTAATTTTTATTTTGATGAAAAATAAACACAGTACTCTGTCTGTCATTGATTATATTTCACTTCCGGAAAATTGGGCATGCGCCAAAAAATGGATTATGCCAGAGGCCGCGTTCTTCGCCGAAGGCCAGAAGAAACGCATGCTCTAGATACGAGATTGTCTGTATATGTGAGAGGTGGGATTTCTTTTTGTAGAACCCTTGTGAAAATAATTAATGTCCTCGGCATAGTGTCTGCAAGCCGAATTTGATGAACGGAAGTCACAGCTGCCCGTGCTCTCGTGGCTATGAAGGTCCAAATTGTAATGAAGGTATGTAACACACGATTCTTATTTATCGTCCGAGAAATACCTTGAGGGAGGAGAAAATTTAATTACAATTTTGATGACTGTCCCACACTTTCTTTCCAGTCAGTAAGAGTCGCGTTATTATGTCCTACAAAAGACCTATTGCTACCAGTTGCCTTCTCGGTCCCAAGATACAAAATCAATAATTTAATAATGTTGACTTTTAGATATTAATGAATGTGAGACTAGCAAACACGACTGTCCAAGCGACTTTAAATGCATCAATACTGAGGGGTCCTTTACTTACGAGAAGTTATTTGGAGGGGAAAACGTCAGTTCAGGTAATATTGTCACATAGAAAAAATGTTCCAGCCTCAAATACTAGGAAAAGAGAATAAATAATAAATATATATTAATTATAATAATTACTATAATAAAAAAAAGCTCACAAATTTGAGCCCTGAAACAATCTCTGAGCTGAGACCTTATCCGCAAAAAACTCACAGATCGAACCCAGAAACAACCTCTGGGCTGATCAAAGACAGGACTTGGCTAACTCACACCAAGAACCCTGATACAACCTCTGAGCTGATTATACCCTGAAACAACCTCTGGGCTGATCTAAGTCAGGGCACGGCTAACTCACAGATGAAATCCTGATACAACCTCTGAGCTAATCTAAGTCAGGGCAAGGCTAACTCACAAATTGAACCCTGAAACAACCTTTTGGATGATCAAAGTCAGGGCATGGCTAACTCACAGATCGAACCCTGAAACAACCTCTTGACTGATCTAAGTCATGGTGAGCGAACAGAGAACTTACAGATCGAACAAGGATTTACAGTATTTCCTGACAGGCGAGTTCACTTCTGGCCACTACGCCACCCTTAATTCCCTAAAACTAAACCTTTGTGCACATTGTTCCTGACCTACATTTTGGCTGCCTTGAAACTTCTCTATCCCCTAGTCACCAAACTTTACAAATGAATTGGCAAGAAAACAATGAACAACAAACACTACAAGAATGCTAGGCTTTTTTTTTTTTTTTTTTTTTTTTTTTTTAATTTTTTCGCAGGTGGTTTTGATTATTCAACTATCTTAACAAACTACGGGAATTCCAGCTACTTAGACGTTCTCAGTGGCTTCTTGGCTCCAGTGCTTCAGAATCCAAGTACGAGTCGGTGAGTGAGGTGTTGGCACGCTGCAACAGATGGATGGGATGTAACAAAGACATTCCACCCACAATGTGACGGAAAGGGACCCACAGTGACTATTGTTCGTGTAGGTACCTACKTGTTTGGGGGATACACCGATGTATCATGGCATTCAAGAAGTAAGTACCTTGAAAAAATACTATTATTGTGCAATAGAAATATTGAATCCAAAATGTAAATAAACAGATACAGATATTTAGACAACATTTTATTTGCCTTGTTTCGTTTTATTTACTTTCTTTTACTTGTTCCTTTGTTTCATTTTTCTTTCCTGTTTGTTTGTTCGCTCGTTTGTCTGTTTGTTTGTTTGTTTTGTTTGTCTGCTTGCTTGTTCGTTTGTTTGTTTGTTTGTTTGTTTGTTCGTTCGTTCGTTTGTTTGTCTGTGCGTTTGTCCGTTTGTTTGTTTGTTTGTTTGTTTGTTTGTTTGTTTGTTTGTTTG